TTAAAAGCTTCCCTTGCTGGTGAACATGACTTGCCCTATCATAAAACTGTTCCAAAGGTTTTCTTTGCACTTGATACAACTGTTGAACCTATTTACTTCATTTGAATACTTAGAAAAAAATTTTCATAATTTTTAAAAAAAAATTTTAGCATGAGAATTACTGAAGGGAAGGGCTGGGATTGTGGCTCAGTGGTAGAGCGCTCATCTAGCACGTGCAAGGCCCTGGGTTCGATCCTCAGCACCACATAAAAATAAATAAATAAAATAAAGGTACTGTGTTCAACTACTTCTAAAAAATAAATATTAAAAAAATTACTGAATAGAGTTAATATAGGTTTAATTTATGCACATAGATGTGGACTATATGCATTAAATTTTTTCTGACAGTCTTTTCTAGATATAATCTTGGCTGTGCTTTCAAGACAGAATATTTTGATCAGTCACTTATCGAGTATAATAACAGCTTTGTAACATCTTTGTACATCTTGTACATGTAGTACAAGAGCATGTAGTATCAGAATGAGACACTTTTGGATTTGAATCACAGTTCTGTTTCTTGCTGTCTGTGTACCTCATTGGGCTTGAATTCTTTCTATTGTAATACAAGGTCAATAAAACCTACTGTATTAGTTAGGAAAGTTGTGAAGATTAAGATATAGAATGTACTCAAATGCCTGAAACAAAATATAGTACTTAGAATATAGGTTTATTAACTCTTTTCCATTGTGGTAGCAAGTAATAGTATTTGTATTTTTAGTAACTTTTAACTAAGATATAGATAGATAGATTGATTCTTTGCCTAAGGTTAGTAATCATCACATAAAATAAAACTCAAGAACTTTTGATTATTTTAAATTGCTCCCAATGTTTAAGAAAAATTCCTACTTTAAGGTTCTTTTAAGAGAAAAGTACATTTAAATTTCTTCTTAAATATACACTAAAGGAATTCACTCTTTAAAAAGAAAAGTTAAGAAATAAGAAGTCAGTTATTTAAAAGGGTACCTCTTCTGTATCTGAACACATTATTTAAAATAAAGACTGTAAGTGAGGTAATGAAACATATATTTTTATTTTGATTAACATATACAGGATATTTGAAAACCTGACTCAGATTGTGTTTAGCACTAAGTTGAATTATTTTTAGAGTACAGCTGTATTTTGTTGTTGTGTGTGCTCCAGAAGGCAGAGGATAAGGAGAAACCTCAAATATGCACAAAAGTACATAGAATAATATACCATGTATTTATCATCAGCTTTACTATTTGTCATTATGCTGAATATTATTTTACAAATAGCCCTATCTCCTTCTCCACTTTAAAAATTTGTTAAAGAAAAATCTTTGTTGTTTTCAATTTTACTTATATTTTCAATCATATTAATTGTACAGTTAATGTGTTTCGCTGTGTGATGTATTTCCATACATGCATGTGTCATTATTTGATGGTATCCACCCTCCCTATCACCCTCTTTTACCCTATTCTCTTCCCTTAGGTTGTCTTCTATTTCCAGTTATCTTTCTCTCTTTTTTTTTTTTTTGTTTTTTGGGGTTTCCACATATAAGAAGAAACATGTATTACTTTTTTTTTTAACTAGGGATTGAACCCAGGGGTGTTTTACTACTGAGCTACATCTCAAGTGTTTTTTATTTTGAGACAGGATCTCTCTAAGTTGCTGAGGGTATTGCTAAGTTGTTGAGGCTAGCCTTGAACTTGTGATCCTCCTGCCTAAGCCTCCCAAGTAGCTAAGATTATAAATGTGTGCCACAGTGCCTGGCCCAATACTTTCTGTCTGGCTAATTTTGCTTATTGTGATAACCTCCAATTTCATCCATCTTCCTGCAAATGAAATTATTTTATTCTTCTTTCTGGCTAAATAATACTCCATTCTGTATATGTACCATATATTTTTTAATCTGTTTATCTTTTGAGGAGCAACTAAATTGATTCTATACCTTAGCTATTGTGAATATTGCCATAATAAACATGGGCATGTGAGTATCTCTTTTGGGTGCTGACTTCATTTCCCCAGGAGTGTTATAGATCTATGTAGTAGATCTATTTTTAGTTTTTTTTAGGAACCTTCACATTGTTTTCTATAGTGACTATAGTAATTATCGTTCCCATCAACAGAGTGAGGATTTCCTTTCTTTGGCAGGCAGGGGTACTAGGGATTGAACTCAAGAGCAGTGAACCACTGAGCTGTATCCCCAGCCCTATTTTGTAATTTATTTAGAGAGAGGGTCTCACTGAGTTGCTTAGCACCTCGATTTTGCTGAGGCTGGCTTTGAACTTTTAATCCTCCTGCCTCAGCCTCCAGAGCCACTGGGATTACAGGCGTGCAATGCTGCACCTGGCTATTTTCCTTCATTCTCCTGTCCTACATTTGTTACTTTTTTTTTTTTTTAATAATCAGTATTCTTACTGAGATGAAATGGAATCTCAGTGAAGTTTTAATTCACATTTCCCTGGTGGTCTAAGCCATTGAACATTTTTTTAAATAACTTTTGGTCATTTGCACTTGTTCTTTTGAGAATTCTCTGTTCATATCATTTGCTTATGTATTGGTTGTTATTAATAGTTCTTGTTAACTTTTTGAAGTTTTTTTTTTTTAATATATATTCTGGGTATTAATCCTCTGTCAGATATGTAGCTAGTAAAGACTTTCTCCCATTCTGTAGATTTTCTCTTCATTCTGTTGTTTCCTTCACTGTGCAAAAGCTTTTTAATTTTATGTAATCCCATTTGTCAATTCTTACTTTTATTTCCTGAGCAAAATAGTTGCCTGTGCCAGTATTTTGAAGCGTTTCCCCTGTTTTCCTCCAGATCTTACATTAAAGTATTTGATCCATTTTGAGTTGATTTTTATATAGGGTGAGAGCAATCTAGTTTCAATATTCTACACGTGGATATCCCATTTTTCTTGCACCATTTGTTGAAGAGGCCGTCATGTCTCCAAACTATGTTTTTGGCACCTTTGAGAAAATTGGATGACTATAGATAAGTGGGTTTATTCCTGGGTCCTTTAGTCTATACCTTTAGGACATGTCTGTTTTTATGTCAATGCCATGCTGTTTTTGTAATTATGCTTCTGTTGTATATTTTAATACCAGGTATTATGATGCATCCAGCATTGTTCTTTTTATTCTGGATTGCTTTGGCTGTTCAAGGTCTTTTTTGTGAAGCAAATCATACATCTTATCTGTTAATTTTTCATTTTTATTTCTAAAGATAAGGACTCTTTTTTTTCATACATAACCACAGTATCATTATCATGCTTTGAAATATAGTCATGTGCCAAATAACCATGTTTCCAATCAGTGGACCACCAGTCCTGCAGTGGTCCCATAAGATTATAATGGAGCTGAAAAATTTCTCTCACCTAGTAGCATTGTAGCCATTATAACATTAGAGCATAACTCATTACTCATGCATTTGTGGTGGTGATGATGCAAACAAACTTGTGCTGCCAATCATTTGAAAGAATGACACATACAATTGTACAAAATGCATAATATTAATAGAATAATATATTATTATGTTACTGGTGAGCATTTACTATACTTTTTATTGTCATTTTATAGAATACTCCTGCTTATAAAAAGATTTAATGTAATATATTATCCCTTGTTTCACTGACACCCTTACACATATCATTTTTACCTCACCTCTTAATTGCATCATTTTCTCTTATTCTTGATTTAATTTTGTGTTATTTTGTTCATTGTGGCCCCAGAAACAATATGCTACACACACATACCCACACACATGTACATTTATATCAAGCTTATGTCATATGTATAAGCTTGTATATATCATATGCCTTAGATGTATAGTTATACCATATGTTTATGTATATTTTACTCAATGACCAAATCACCTATGGACATATTTCTCAGAACAATATTCCTTTCATTAACACATGACTAATAATTTCTTGATATCATCAAATGTCATTATTAAAATTTTCAATCGTTTTGTTAAAATTTTCCTAACAGTTTGTTTATTTGAATCAATATCTAAGTAAGGTCCACATATTGGAATTGTTTAGTACATCTTTTAATTTAATCTTCCCACAGATCTTTTTCTTCTCATAATTTACTTGTTGAAGAAATTAGGTCATTTGTAGAATTTGCTGTATAGTTAGTGTAAAAGATATCTTTCAGTTGTCTTTCTTTAAACTTATAGTAATTAAATCTAGAGGCTTGATCAAATGCAGTTTTGATTTTAGGGGTAAGACTTTATAGATGATAGTGTGAGCCTTCATTAGGAGGCTAACATGGTCTGGTTGTCTCTCTTTTGGGTGATAAGCATCCATTCAAGTTCAATGTTTGGATACATTAATTCATTAAGTATTACAAAATGTTTATATTCTCTTATTTCCTGTCTTCATTTATTAGCTATAATATTCCTGTAAAGAGAACATTCATCTATTTTGGGGGTAGCTTTTGTTTGAACTGATTACCCAAAAGAACAATCCAAGGGTGGTCATCACTAATATTTTCAAATATCTGTCAACTTTATGGTTGTTATAATTCAGAAAAGGTGATTAAGGTATACCTCTAAGCCAGGCCTAGTGAAACATGCCTGTAAGCCCAGCTGCTGGGAAAGCTGAGGCAGGAGGGTTACAAGTTTGAAGTCAGCATGGGCAATTTAAAGGTCTCAGGATGTAGTTCATTGGTAGAGTACTTACCTAGTATGTGTGAGGCTCTGAATCCAATCCCCAGGACTTGGAAAAGGGGAGAAAAAGGATATATTTCTCTATGTTTACAGATACAGATGCAAATGTATACATTAATTAATAAAGATTGTTATTTAAGTAGGAATACTAAAACCATGCCAAAGTCATAATTATAAATCTAAATTTACTTTAAAAAATAAAATTGCTAAAATGTGTATAAGCTTTATAAATTTCAAAATATTTACCTAGAATTTTCTGACATATTGATATCTCATTTTTATTGTATTTGTAATATATTATTTCTATTAAATGTTAATTAAAAGGGAATGCAGTGGTGTCTTTTGAAAGAAGAGGATGTCATTCCTCGAATCAGGGCAATGGAAGGTCGTAGAGGAAGACCACCAAATCCAGATAGACAGCGAGCAAGAGAGGAATCCAGGATGAAACGTAGGAAGGGTCGACCTCCAAATGTTGGCAGTGCAGAATTCCTAGATAACACAGATGCCAAATTGCTAAGAAAACTGCAGGCTCAAGGTAAGAAATGTAATGTACGTAACACTGTGCTAATTATACTAAAAATTATGCTAAACATATTTTTTACATTTTTATACTTAGGAATGAATGACACTATTCTCAGTTTCTAAATAATAGATATTTGTGTTAGAATAAATGAGAAAATAAGGAGTCCCACTGGTAACTGGAGTTCTTTGATTTAGGTAATTTTTCAAGAGCCATACTTATAAACACATCCTATCCCATGTGTTTAGAATTACAAATGTGGGTGTTAAGCTATTAAGGCTTGCACAGAAAGGGAATCAACCAGCACTTGGCACTTGCCTTAAGGTCGTGCCAACCTTCTGGAAATTCTCCTTTTAACAGCTCCCGATTCCTTGAGGTGGTACATGAGAATTACTCCAAAATATGTGGATCTGTGGAATAAATTTTCAGTCAGAGAACTCCAATTACTGGTAAGTAAACCAGTCTTTTAGTTTGGGTTCTCCTATAGTCTGGATATAGTATATATTTTCAAAATGCTCAATTAATAGAACTATATGAAAAAGTATTTTAATATCACCAGAATGTATCATTTATCAAACTGAAAGTGCTCATAATAACCTAAGATATATTCATGATTCAAAATTATGCATAAATTATCAAGACAAAGCCATGCTACATATAACACAGAGAAGGCTGAATAAAATAAAATAGTTCTGATATGGCATTTAGTTACTGTTTACAAATGTGAAGGCTTTTAACATAGAACATAGAAACATGTATAGATAACTTTTATTTGCAAGCTTTTATTTACATGTAAAGACATAAGAATGTAAAACAAAGGTTTAGTAAAGAAAAATTACTTTAAAAGACTAACATAAATTTACTTTCTCTATAAATAAACATCAAAATCTGGAGGAAATGCCTGAAATATTTATTTCTATTTATTGTAAACACCACCATAATATTGGCATATTTGTTTTTATTTTAAAACAAAGTATCTATGAAAAAAGCTCATAGAACAGAATGCTGTAAAACAAAAGACACTTACTCTTCCTCATTAGTGGAATCATTAGGAGGGTTTTTTAAAAAAACTCTCTAGAATGTGTACACACATATTCAGACATACATTCGAACATATTTACATCCTTCTTGATTTCTAAAATAAATATACTTATAATGTCATACTATTCAGCTTGTTCTTTTCCCATTTATCTTGAATCTTTCTGTATTAGTGCTTACAAACCAACCAATCTGTCTTTTAATCACTGAGTAGTGAATGATGCCACATGTAGCTCTACTTCATTAAACCAGTCTCTTCAGTGAATCCTTTCTATCACAGTGTCTTAATAAATATATATTGCACAAAATAAACATATAAATCATGTTTACTTAAACATGTACTGCACATACCATTTCTAATTTTGGTAGATAGCTGGCAAGTATTGTCTCTAAAAAGGCTATACCAATTCAAACTTTGACCAGTAGTATGTAAGTTAACAACCTACCATATAACTTAATATCCTGTAAATTTTTTTCTACCTTAATTTGTTAGTCAATTTTTTTTTTTAGTTTTTACTTTATTTATTTTTTTTTTGTAAGACTTTCATCTCTGCCAGGTAGCTGTCAGTAATGATTAAAAAAATGGATATATTAACATACATAAATTTTAAAAGGTAATATTCTCAATAATCCATTAATTCTTCTGAAAAATGCATAATGGTTAAATGTATGTATTGTTTTGCATAAAATAAGTCCTCAAAATTAACTGACAGCTAAAACATGGGCTCTTTGTATATCCAACACAAATATCATTATATCTGAAATGGCAAATATAAATTTGCAAAATTAACTATGTTTTTATTGTAACAAAATAGAAGTTAATCTACTTTTACCCAATATTTTATTCTCCTTCTAGCTTTCAAATTGATTTTTAGTCTATTACATACTTCTCCCCCATTGCCATGGGTTAACTTTGCAATTTCTGTAAATTTTGAAGTAACTGTATATATATGTTCTTTCTCATCATGTATGTAAGGATTGAATATTTAACAGTAAATAATTATTAATCATTTTTATAACTGTATGGTGTATAGTTTTCATGTTTTTTTTCCTGAGGAGAAAAGAAAACAAGAATGAATCACTTTTAGTCTGTATAAATAAACCTGCTTATTAATTGATGAATACTATTAAATTTCAAATTTTCCAAAGTATCCAATAGCACCTGTCCTTTTTATGTCATAGAACATGAGATATCATATAGTGTATACAATGTACCATTATTTTATTATATAGCTATAAGAAGATAAAATGCTGCCAATTATCTAACACATCGATTGATTTTTAGAGATGTTAAAATGTTTTAAAATGTGTCTTAAAACCAAAGACATCAGTTCTGTCTAAAAGATCCCTAATTCAGTGAAAATAAACATTATTTCAAAAATTAACTTTTATCTTTGAAATTAAAGCAGTATGTGATTTCTTAAATCATAAAAGATATTTTTCAAATTAACATTTCAAATGTTATTTGTAACATATTCAGCAACCAGAAGCCAAATAAATGAGTAGATAATGGGAGCAATTTATTCCCCACTACCTAGGTGAATTTTTTTCTGCATCTCTAACTCATTCTCTTTGCTCCATAGTATCTCTAGTTTTTTTTTTCTTCTTCTTTTCACATTTTCCCCTCCAGCTGCTCAAAATGTAAAATTTAAGCTATATAAATTTTAATGATTACTCAGATTGTATATTTCTTGCTAAAGTGAAAAGATATGAGGTGGATTTTTTGATGTTTTTCTGTCCACAGGGCTTAAAAATAAAAATTACTATGTACTTCTATGAAGCTTGAAGTTTACTGATACACTCATACACAAACATACATATATACATGTGTGTGTATATATATACATATACACACACACACACACACACACACATATATATATAAAACAGAATTTCTTTATTAAAAGTCAGCTTCTTTTAGGGGAACAAAAGACTATATTTATGTCACATTTTCCAGGAAATGTTTTTAGAATCATTTAGCACATCTTCAGGCCTTTATAGTGGAGTTCAATAGGGTTCATTTCAATTCTTAATGTTGAAGGGAGTGTTTATCTGATATTATTATAGATGAGATTATATTCTTCAAGAATATTATTAGAGGTTGCTGAGTATGCATGCAAGGGTAGAGGCTTTTTTTCCCCTGAAAGTATTTAGTATATAGGAGATCTTTTTGTGTGACCCAGAAATTTTTGATAGTGTCTATGCTTCCTCAATGTTGAAATTATTGGAATATTGGGAGACATACTTTAGTAGCATTAGCTTCATTTTTGTTTTTCATCAACATTTCCAGTTTACAAGATAAACTTATACCCTTTACTTCTCACCTTTTTTTAAATGTTCATGACATAAAATTATCCATAGCAAGCAACCATTTATTACAAGAATATGCAATTACATTCTTAGTTAAAATCTCAAGGCATTCAAATATTGCTTAAAGATTTTTAGAAGTTCTAGCAGATAGACTGTGGAGCTGAAAAGACAGACCTGGGTTTATATCTTGTCTCTGCTATTTAACTTCAGTGAGCCTTAGGTATTTTATTTATAACCTGGGCACAGCATTGCTTATTTCATAAAGTAGTTCTGAAGATCATGTAAACTTAACACAACAATGCTTGCGTTCACTAAGTGGTGGAAATTGATAGAGCTCAAGTGATTTAGGAGCTAGCAATCATGCATATTCATTATTGATGAATATAGTTTTATAGGTTCTTTATATTGTTCCTCAGATACAATGTTTGAAACAATGTCTTCTGTATAGTGATGCTATACAGAAGTTTTATTGCTTTGTTAACAAAGGAGAAACACAGCCTGTTCCAGAGGCTGTGATTCTGTCCATCAGCAGCAACAGGGGTCTTTTATTTTTTTTTTTATTTTTTATTTTGTATCACAGCTTTTTATTTTGCCTTATGTGTAGCTTACAAAGTTAAAAATATCAAGTTATATAGATTTTTTTTTAATTTTTTATTGTTGGCTGTTCAAAACATTACATAGTTCTTGATATATCATATTTCACACTTTGATTCAAGTGGGTTATGAGCTCCCATTTTTACCCCATATACAGATTGCAGAATCACATCAGTTACACATCCATTGATTTACATATTGCCATACTAGTGTCTGTTGTGTTCTGCTGCCTTTCCTATCCTCTACTATCCCCCCTCCCCTCCCCTCCCCTCCCCTCTTCTCTCTCTGCCCCCTCTACTGACATTCATTTGTCCCCCTTGTATTATTTTTCCCTTTCCCCTCACTTCCTCTTGTATGTACTTTTGTATAACTCTGAGGGTCTCCTTCCATTTCCATGCAATTTCCCTTCTCTCTCCCTTTCCCTCCCACCTCTCATCCCTGTTTAATGTTAATCTTCTTCTCATGCTCTTCGACCCTACTCTGTTCTTAGTTACTCTCCTTATATCAAAGAAGACATTTGGCATTTGTTTTTTAGGGATTGGCTAGCTTCACTTAGCATAATCTGCTCAAATGCCATCCATTTCCCTGTAAATTCTATGATTTTGTCATTTTTTAATGCAGAGTAATACTCCATTGTGTATAAATGCCACATTTTTTTTATCCATTCATCCATTGAAGGGCATCTAGGTTGGTTCCACAGTCTAGCTATTGTGAATTGTGCTGCTATGAACATCGATGTAGCAGTGTCCCTGTAGCATGCTCTTTTTAGGTCTTTAGGGAATAGACCGAGAAGGGGAATAGCTGGGTCAAATGGTGGCTCCATTCCCAGCTTTCCAAGAAATCTCCATACTGCTTTCCAAATTGGCTGCACCAATTTGCAGTCCCACCAGCAATGTACAAGTGTACCCTTTTCCCCACATCCTCGCCAGCACTTGTTGTTGTTTGACTTCATAATGGCTGCCAATCTAACTGGAGTGAGATGGTATCTTAGGGTGGTTTTGATTTGCATTTCTCTGACTGCTAGAGATGGTGAGCATTTTTTCATGTACTTGTTGATTGATTGTATGTCCTCCTCTGAGAAGTGTCTGTTCAGGTCCTTGGCCCATTTGTTGATTGGGTTGTTTGTTCTCTTACTGTCTAATTTTTTGAGTTCTTTGTATACTCTGGATATTAGGGCTCTATCTGAAGTGTGAGGAGTAAAGATTTGTTCCCAGGATGTAGGCTCTCTATTTACCTCTCTTATTGTTTCTTTTGCTGAGAAAAAACTTTTTAGTTTGAGTAAGTCCCATTTGTTGATTCTAGTTATTAACTTTTGTGCTATGGGTGTCCTATTGAGGAATTTGGAGCCCGACCCCACCGACTGTAGATCGTAGCCAACTTTTTCTTCTATCAGACGGCGCGTCTCTGATTTGATATCAAGCTCCTTGATCCATTTTGAATTAACTTTTGTGCATGGCGAGAGAAAGGGATTCAGTTTCATTTTGTTGCATATGGATTTCCAGTTTTCCCAGCACCATTTGTTGAAGATGCTCTCCTTCCTCCATTGCATGCTTTTAGCCCCTTTATCAAATATAAGATAGTTGTAGTTTTGTGGATTGGTTTCTGTGTCCTCTATTCTGTACCATTGGTCCACCCGCCTGTTTTGGTACCAGTACCATGCTGTTTTTGTTACTATTGCTCTGTAGTATAGTTTGAAGTCTGGTATCGCTATACCGCCTGATTCACACTTCCCAACAGGGGTCTTTTAAAGAGGTGATTCAAAGTCTGCATTCTACATGTTCTCTGTTGGAGTTATAATTCACTTAGTCATTTCTGATCTCCTGGTACCATTCCCAAAGTCTGGATTGCTTAGTTCCTGTGGTGGGTGTGTTAAAGTGGTGCTTTCTAAAATGATATCATGATACACCACTTCTAGAGTTAGAAGTATTCAGACTGTTTGCCAACACAGAAAAGCAGTAACATTTCATAGCCTTTATACCTATTGCCCCATTAATGTTGGTTAACAGATAATCATCAAACCTCAGTAGCATATAATGCTAAGTGTTAATTGCTGGTGCAAGTGGAATCAGTTGTAAGCTAACTGAACAGCTTTGCTGACCTTGGCTGGACTTCATAACACGTGTGGGGTCAGTCTCATTCTCTAGCAGCCTAAATCAAATATGTCCTTATAGTAATGGGCAAGGCACAAGAGCAAAAGTAGAAAGAGCACAAATACCCTTTCAGGTTCTACTTTCATTATAGCTGCTAATTCTTGACCATAGATGAATTCAGAATTGAGGGACAAAATACATTCCACTTCTTGATGGAAGTTGCTGCAATGTCACATTGTGAATGACATGTTTAAAGGGAGGAATGAAGAATTGGGGCCATTATTTATGCCTTTCTACCACCCAAGTTCATACATTTTTTCTTGGAAATTATGAGAAGTAAATTGTCCTTAAAATTATTGATTATAGAAGACTTAGTCTCTCTTTCTCATAAGTAAGAATATCACTGATTTAAGGATTTAACCATTAGTATACCTCATTGAAATATAAGTTTGGGGAGGAGAGTCTGTTTTATTTGAGGGTATTTCTTTTTATGTATTTTATTGTTTTACAATTGAAATCTAATTATTGTTCTTAACCTATAATTTTGGCAATTTCTAAGGACAATGACCATGACATTTTCTACTACACTACTCTCCTACTTGGTACCTTTTAACCATAAGCAGTTTTCTTAAATATTATACCCTTCATGATGATATAGTACTAATTTCACAGTTAGCATTTTAGGTTTGCAGTCATGTGAAGTTGTTAGTAATGTTTTCTGAAATTTTTTGTTTTTCAGAAATAGCCAGGCAAGCAGCACAAATAAAGCTTTTGAGAAAACTTCAAAAGCAGGAACAGGCTCGGGTTGCCAAAGAAGCTAAAAAACAACAAGGTGGGTGATATAAATGATGGCATGAATTTGAAAAGTGAGTGTTGGGGAGTTCATAAAAGGCTTCTTCTTTGCTCATCTGATGATAATCTGTGCTTTGGTTTCTCATAGCAATAATGGCTGCTGAGGAGAAACGAAAGCAAAAAGAACAGATAAAGATTATGAAACAACAGGTATGTTCATGCATTGAACTTTTAGAACATGGTCCTTATTTGGAGGATCTATATAAGTACATTATTTTGATTTTGATTTTTTTAATAACTACTACACATTGTTATGTGTTCTATTTAGAAAGTTGTCACCTTCCATTAGTTAAAATTTCACCTCATTTTAAAATTAAGTCGTCTTCTTTCAAGGTTTTGTTTTGAGGTTTTCCTTGCAGTGCTGGGAATTGAACCCAGGGTCTTATGCATGCACAGCAAGTGCGCTACCTCTATATTTCTAAGTTGTTTTCTTTCTTTTTTTTTTTTTTTAATGATTACAAGCTAACATGATGGTGCATGCCTATAATCCCAGCAACTCAGGAGCCTTGAGGCAGGAGGACTACAAGTTCAATGTTAGCCTCAGCAACTTAGTGAGACACTGTCTCATGTTTAAAAATGGATAGAGATGTAGGTCAGTGGTAGAGCACCCTTGGATTTAATCACTTGTACCACAAAACAAATAAAAAAACAAACAAAAATTAGCAAAAAAATTAGCAAACAGAAAATTTATGTATTTTAGTATCTTAGTACTTTGAGTATAAGTGGACGTCCTGAACAATTGAAGGCTTTTTAAATTTATGTAGTGGTAAATGAAAGGTATTGCTTGAACATTCACATTTTAATAAGGAAAGTTGGTTGTTCTAAAATATGTAAAATATTAGAAAAAATTAAATTCAAGTTATATATGATAAGGTTTACCCTTCTAAATGCTTCAAAAATTACTTAAAACTTGCTACTGCACAAAAATAATGAAAGCATTATTTTAGCACATCCAGAATTTCTTTATCTGCAGTATCCCTCCTCTATGAGATCTTCAGACTATGATTGAGCAAATGAAATAATTTTAAAATCCTTATAGGTACAATACTAAATGATAAGGTATTCAGCTTCATTTAAGATTGAATGCATAAACTAGTCTTCCACCTCCACAAACTCATGTAACATTAAAACAGAGAGGAAATGGTAGCCAAGTATTATTCTTTAAGAAATTTTAAATGTTATTTCCAAGTATGAAATGAAATCAACTGTGTTACTCTGTAAATAGCTGCTAAATAAATGACTTGGGTTGGATTTAATGTAATTATTTCTAAGGTTCCCTGAAGAATTAACTAATGTGACTTGAGATAGTTGATACAGATTTGGGTTTTAGAATTTTGGAGTTTAGAGATTTGGGCAACCTAGATTGAAATATAGGCTTAGCTACTTAATAATTTTGTGACTTTGGCTATACCCAAAGGACCTAAAAACAGCATACTACAGGGATACAGCCACATCAATGTTTATAGCAGCACAATTCACAGTAGCTAGATTGTGGAGCCAACCTAGATGCCCTTCGATGGATGAATGGATTAAAAAAATGTGGCATTTATACACAATGGAATATTACTCAGCACTAAAAAAAAAAATAAAAAAAAGATCATGGCATTTGCAGGGAAATGGATGGCATTAGAGCAGATTATGCTAAGTGAAGTTAGCCAATCCCAAAAAAACAAATGCCGAATGTCTTCTCTGATATAAGGGGATGACTCAAAATGGGGTAGGGAGGAAGAGCACGGGAAGAAGATTACCTCTAGATAGGGAAGAGAGGTGGGAGGGAAAGGGGGGGAGAAGGGGAATTGCATAGATGGTGGAAGGAGACCCCCTCATCGTTATACAAAATACATGTATGAAGATGTGAGAAAAAAAAAAAAGAATAGCATTACCTTAGATTAGGTAGAGAGAAGTGATGGGAGGGGAGGGGATGGGGGGATAAGAAGGATAGTAGAATGAAATAGACATTTTATTACTGTGTGTATATATGTGACTGCATAACCAATATGATTCTGCAACCTGCACACTCAGAAAAATGAGAAATTATATCCCATCTGATTCAAACGTATGATATGTCAAGGTCATTGTAGTGTCATGTGTAACTAATTAAAACAAATAAAAAATTTAAAAAGAAAAAAATAAAATTATAGATATAACTTTATACCCACAAAAAGTAATAATAATTTTGTGACCTTGGATGAACTACTTAACCTCTAATTCTCTATTTCATCTGTTGTAAAGTAAGATAATTGTAATTTTTTGATATTAGGAAAAGTATTCACTCTGGAAATCTCAGTTTTTCTCTTTTATAGTAAGAATATAATTTCAACTTCTGTTTGTTTGTTTGTTTTTAATGATCACAAGTTGTTTTATGTAAAGTGACCAGCTCAGTGTTTTTTCAAGTGCTCAATACTATAAGATTAATCTATATTATTATTATAATTCATAAATAACGTTTATCTACCTGTGTTTCTCATCCCTGGTGAGAGCACTGCCAAATAATAGTACATATAAATCTCTTGAATATTTAAGATAATACTTTAGACTAAATGTACTTAAGTCCCAAATTACATAAGCCCAAGATTGTCTACCTATCTCTTTGCACAAGAGTACAGTGGTATTCTTGTGCTTATTTGAGGGCATACCACTATAAAATCTTACAATTGACAAGAGCAGAAAAATTAGCTCAAGAGTATGATTTACTTAGCTCTAATCCAAATAAATACATCAGATATGGATCAAACATAGTCTTCTCTAAGACTTGTAGATAACATGAAAGATACCCTTGGGTTTTTATTCTGGTAAGCTAAAATACTTAATACCAAAAGAGTATTAAGTATTTTAGCTTGCAGAATAAAAATGCAAAATCATAGGGTATCAGTCTTCTGAAATCATAATATTAATTCCTAAAATCTCATTATCAAGTAGTAGGCCCGTGTAGGACATCAATAAAACATCAGTGTATCAAAAAGAAATTAAATATATATTAAAGTATATCTTCAAAAGGCACAACTAGCATCTGGAAAATGAACCAAGTTTTATAATATACAGCAGTATAAAATGTGTTTGCTCTGGAAGTTCTAGAATAAATACAATTTGAAGTAGAAAATTTCAGGTGTTTTTGTTCTGAAAATTATGCATTTATTCTCATCAGTGTCATTTTGGGACTCAAGTGGAAGTTATGAGCATGAAATTGATAACAGTATGCTTATAGTATATGAGGTAATTTTTAAAAATCAATGTACGTTCTTATCAAAATATAGATGATCACTAAATAAAACATAACCCACAGTCAGTTCATTAAATTTAGACATTGTGTATACCAACTGTGTTATATAACCAATTCCTTAGACTTTTAAATTGATATCAATCCATTTTTTTAAGTATTACAGATTATTTTTAGATGGGCTTATTGAAGTAGTTAAAAGGAATATCATATTGTTCAACATTTAACTATAAGTTTTAGAATGGAAATTATTTTTTATCTAATTGTGACAGTAAAAAAGGGCAAGCACCTTATCCTGGTTTATAGATGAATAGTTATTTGCTCTAGATCATCCAATTAATAACTTTAACCCAGAACTAGTTTATGTATTCTGATTCTGAAGACACTAATTTTTTCTACTTTTCTATCCTGTACTTATTTCAAATTAATTTTTATTTGCAGTTACAAATATTTATAAATATTTCCAGGCTATGTAAGTTTAATCAGCTTTATTTATCTGGTTTCTGTATATTTATTTAGCATTTTTATTTTATAGATTATGAGACATTTTTAAAATCATATGAATTTAAAACATAAAAACATAATTTTGTAATAAATCATTGAAATTTTTATATACAGTCTAGGCAGCATTTGATAATTTTGTGTTTTTTTTCTTATTTGATTCCAGTTAAACACATTTTACCTCAATATTTATTTTATTATCTTAAATTTTTATAATCTTTCCTTCAGGAAAAAATTAAGAGAATACAGCAAATCAGAATGGAAAAAGAACTTCGAGCCCAGCAAATTCTAGAGGTAGAGTTCTTAAATTTAATATGATTAAAGTAATATAATCATGTTTTTTGATAACTCTGCAAAAAATTAAAAAATTGCCTATGTCTCTCACCTATACAAATTAACATGTTCATCAGAAAATATCTTTAAATATAATGCATAAAGTAAGACCTTCTCTGAACTTTATTTAGCAAGCTTATCTAATCCTACCAGTAAAAATCTAGGAAATAAGACAAAAGAAAAAGGAAGACCTTTGACCACCTAATATAGTTGTCATAAAGTTCATTTGCTAAAACCTTTGTTCTTTACTCTTAGAAAAGTTATTAGAGTTTATAGTCAGATATTTACTTTCAATATAGAAATAAACATTTTATAAAAGTAAACATTCTGAAAGTAAAATTAAATTTTAAATATAGAAACAATTTTACTGGCATGGTTTGCTGGTTCTAGCATAACTCGGTTCCCTATAAGATTACTAGAGTAAGATAGAAGACATGTTGTCAACAACAAAAGTAGTAGCCAAAGACAGCAAAGGAAAATAGAAAAAAGCTCCATCTGGTATATACAGGGACCCAAAAGCCTAGCAAGAGTTTGTAATCTTTTAGTTGAATAGCAAGCAATTTCAACACCTTAATAGCCCAAAGGCATTACTCTATCAAACTGTGTAGTATAATAACCGATGTTCAAAATAATTGCCCTGAGTCATCAAAAAAAAGCCAAATTATGTTTAGTGTACTGTGTCTAAACAGGCATATGTCTCAAGGTTATTTCCATCTAACATAATGCAAATAAACTTTTAATGCTTAAAATTATTATAACTTCTCAGCTATTCAGGAAACTACTGCTTTATAGACCACTTTATTTGCTGTGGGTCCAGAAAGCTGAGATTTTTGTTGTTTTTTTACCCCTTCTAGAAATACATACATGTTCTCTAATCCATTTTAATCTTAAACTCCTAAATCAAAAATATCTCTATCTTAAAGTATATTGAAGTTAATTATCAGATAGTTATGAAACTATCTAGTTAATGACTTTAAGATTTATAAAGTTTACATTTGATTATATGATATTTTATTAAAATTTTTTGTAGTTGTAGATGGACACAATATCTTTATTTATTTATTTTTATGTGGTACCGAAGATCAAACCTAGTGCCTCCCACATGCGAGGCAAGCACTCTACCACTGAGCTACAGCCCCAGCCCAATAATATGATCTTAATGGCCAAAATGTGCTTGATGAAAGATTTATAGGTTTCCATCCTGTTAGAAAAAGGGGAGGACATATGGTGTGACACTACATTGAATACAACCAAAGACATGAAAGGTTGTGCTGCGTTTGTATACAGTCAATCAAAATGCATTCTGTTGTCATATATACCTAATTAGAATGAATGAATGAATGAATGAATAATTTTTTTAAAAAAGGATATTGTAAAAACAAAAAAGGGCGGGGAAAAGAACACTTGAAATTTAACCACAATATGTGAGATAGAGAGAAACAGATTTAATGCTTCATTTAGTGGTTATATCTTAAATTTAAGTTTTAAAATTAAGTTTTAAAAGAAATTTCAAGACATGTGCATTTTAAAATTGTTACTGATTTATTCTTTTTTTAAAGAATTTTATTTTTTGATCAAATTATATTATTGTGTGCATGCATAAATAGATAACAATGAATTTTGCTATTCTGTATGCTTATTTTTTATTAGTTAATTAATTTATTTTAATTAGGTATATATGACAGCAGAATAAATTTTGATTCATTGTACACAATTGCGACACAACTTTTCATTTCTCTGGTTGTACATGATGTAGCGTCACACCATATGTGCAGTTATACATGTACCTAGAATAATGATGTCCATCTCATTCCACCATCTTTCCTGCCCCCATTCCCCCTTTACTCTTAGAAAAATTATTAGAGTTTATAGTCAGATATTTACTTTCAATATAGAAATAAACATTTTATAAAAGTAAACTTCTTCATCCCCTTTGCCCCATTAAAGTTCTTCCATTTTTCCCATGCGCCCTCCACCCATTATGGATCAGCATCCACTTATCAGAGAGAACATTCGGCCTTTGGTTTTTAGGGATTGGCTTATTTCACTTAGCATGATATTCTCCAACTCCATCCATTTACCTGCGTATGCATATTCTCTTTTAATGCTGAGTAATATATCCATTGTGATTTATTCTTGAAATAGTTTTTATTTAGCAGTTAATATATATCCTGTTTTCTAAATTTTTTAGAGATGTTTTAAAATCAGAAAACAAAAAATGACAAAATAATTTTTTCTGTAATTAAGTTTTAAGATAACAAATACTCAGTTGTTATAGATTTTTAATGAAGTTTGTAGACAGTAAGAAAAGTTGTCATATTCTTATGAATTTAATAATTTTTGGCATATCCTAATGCTTATCTATAAATTAGAAATATAATTAACGGGGAAAATCTGTAATTGTCCACATATATGTTACATATTGTTTTGTACCTTGTGAGGCATGTAGCTTCATTTCAAGTCTGAGATTATTTGCAAGTTGTAGTGGTGCTGTTGCATGACTTTGAGACCTGTTTTGCATGCACAGGCTAAAAAGAAAAAGAAGGAAGAAGCGGCAAATGCCAAATTATTGGAGGCCGAGAAACGAATAAAGGTTAGTTTAGATGAGAATCAGAGTTTTTATTTTTCAAAAAATAAAAACTATGTGTTTTACCAGCATCAATTATACATATATTTTTTTAAAAAAAGCTTTCCTCAGAATGGCTATCTAAAAATACATTATAGCAGATACAATGTGTAAATGTGTGCTTTTATTTGTATGTATATTATATGTATACATTGTGTATTTTTATTTCATTATACAGGTTCTATGTAATGCTTTCAGCTCTTTCAATAGGAGACATCAAATCAGAAATGCAAATTATTGCATAACACCTGTATATAGTTTTGCTTGATAAGAATGATTCCCCAAAAGATTTTGTGTGTCATTTATGTTTGTTTAAAACTATGTCCCAAATCTGATTCTCCCCATATAACTTTATCTTTGTTAATATCTAGCCCCAAAATGAAAAGCATATAGAAACAAAATTCTATCAACTGCTATTTACTAATAAGTACTATTTACTTATCGAAGTATAAGAGAGATGTTCTTTCCCTTCCCCACCCACCCTGTCTACTTCAGATAACTAAATTCTAAAAGTGGGCAGCTGTGTGAACCTGGTAGTATTCAAAACAACCAGAAAACTGTTTTCTTTTTGTGGGGTGGGAAGGCAAGGTTGGTGCTGTGGTTGAACCCAGGGCCTTACAAATGATAAGAATCATCCCTACCTCTGAGCTATATCCCTAGTACCTATTTCTTATCTTTTCAACACTCTGTTACTTTATTCTTTACATGTCTGCCCCTTTTATGCCTACTCTTAATATTAATTTCATTCAGATTTTACCTTTATAAAAATTGTGAAACTGATGAGATTCTTAGAATTATTTGCATTAAACCCCTGTCCCCTTGGGATGGTGTTGTGAACCATAGGTGGGTATAGAAATCTGATCACCAAAGTCTTTATCACTTTTATTCATAGAAAATAAATATTTGTGGTTAATTATAAGTACATTGGGGGAGATTATATTTGGAGTGGGGAGAATTCTAATCAGCTAAATTTGAGAGTTACAACATAATGTATTAAAATTATTTTTTTTTAAATGTGTGATTTGTATCTCATGCTCTGACAATCTAGTCAGTTCAGTAGATCACCGTTGATGTGTATTGTTAGGATATTCATTGACTTTTAAGTTGAAATCCTTGCTCCAGCATCATATGGTCTTTATGTTAAATATATAGAACTATGTGAAATTGAGTTGCCATTTTACAAGAAAAAACATGATTGAATATTGGCAATTCTGTATGGTTCAACCTAATGGAAGACTATAGAATTTTAGAAACAGGAACTTTTATACTTTTTAGGGATTGGCTTATTTAATAAAAATATCCCATTTTATTTTTAGCATGTTCTAAATCTTTCCCAGAATTCATATATTAAAAGTTTCTTATTTTTAAGGAAAAAGAATTGAGAAGACAACAAGCTGTTCTTCTGAAGCATCAGGTCTGTATACATGTGATTATGTAACTGTTGAAATGTATGTTTTATAATTTTGCTTAAATCTATTTGGGGGAAAATGTTCAAAATATTTCTTTAAAATTTCTGATATAATTCCTGCTTAAGTTTTTCTTTCATCACTTAGTTATTGCCTTGCTTTGATTTTGGTGTCTTTGGGGGGGGTTAAAATTGGTTTTATGACTCTGTGATTTCTGTTTCATAATGTTGTGCCAACTCTTTCTACCAGGAGTTGGAGAGGCATAGACTAGATATGGTATGGGTATGTTTATTTTTGTACATCTAACACCGCATTGTGATTTGGTTGTGATATGGTTGTCATAGCAATGCATAAAGTGTAGCACTGGCTGCTGTCATATTACATACTGCTGCATGGCTTTACAGCACAGTGCATTGCATACATCTGCTTGTCTGTCTATAAAGAAGTATGATACATCTCCAAGATTTTTCATTGAATTGCATAAGTCTTAAGTAAGGCTCTCTCTAAAAATATACATTACTGATGTCACAGGGAAAGTTGGATCACTGTACAGTTAGATACAGTTGTAACCTGTATTCTCCCATCATTCTAGATGCAAAACTACCATTGAGTGCAATGGAAATTTTGAGTTTGTTTGATGAGAGAATATTAAATATTTATACTAATATATTTACAAATATATTTAAACTAAAAAATCAAGTAGAGCAGGTGCAGTTGACACACACCTATAATCCCAATAACTCAGGAGTTTGAGGCAGGAGAACTGCCAAGTTTGAGGCCAGCCTCAGCAACTCAGCGAGACCCTGTCTCAAAATTTAAAAAAAAAAAAAAAAAAATTAAATGGCTGGGATGTACCTGTGGGTTCAATTCCCAGTGCTGCAAAGAAAAAAAAAAATCAATTAGCTATCATTCATCTGTGATTTTTTTAATTTAAAATAAAATGAGATTATCAAATTAAGCTAGTGCTTACCTTAGGTAAGCACTGTACATTTTAGATTATACTTATTAGCCCATGGTGCATCTTTCTGGTTTTAAACAGTGCATCAAGTGGCAGACATCAGTAAATAGAATATCCCATTTTATTTGTGTTTGTATATGAACTAATACTAGTTTAGTTTTATAAATTGTTATAAAAGCTTTTAAAAAACCCTTTCTAATTTGTTGGTGATTATTAAATCATTAAAGTGATTTTATACATGGAATAAAACCAATTCTAAAATCATTACATGAAAGTGATTATAGATCAATTTCTGCCTGATCTAAAAATTTTAAGAACAATACAACCTTTAGTTCAATTGGCTATAGTAAGTATTTGTGGTTTTTCTAATAGCAGATGTAAGGTAACTGACCTGTTCCAGCCAACCATTATGCTTTTTGTTCTGCCAGCTTTTGAAGGAGCATCACAACTGACCATAAGTAAATCTTGTATGCTTCTGTTTACACTGTCTCCATGTTCATTGCTTTACCTTTTTGCTTTTGATTGTTCTTGTATTTGCTTTCTAAACCTGAACTAAAACATGCACAGACTGGCCATTCTTGTCTTATATTTAGTATTTACTGTGACTTGTCTATAAATGCTAAACATGCTATACTGAGTTGTTTTTTTTTTTTTTTTTTTGTTTTTGTTGTTGTTGTTTTGTTGTTGTTTTCCATTTGAAAATCAAACTATTAACTATGGTTGAGTTAGTTTTCTAATTTTATTTGGCCTAATAGGAACGTGAACGAAGACGACAACATATGATGCTTATGAAAGCTATGGAAGCTCGTAAAAAAGCAGAAGTAAGTGTATGTTTCTAAAAAAATTACCTTATTGGAGTTGGGGTTGTGGCTCAGTGGTAGAGCATGCATTAGGCACTGGGTTTGATCCCCAACACCACATTTTAAAAAAACCAAAACAAAAAACGAAATACACAAAAATAAAGGTATAAAACATTACTTTATAAATTAATATTTTTTCCCAAAGCATTAGCTCTTCCAAACATAAATTTTTTTCAGAGTATGAGTTTGTCCTGATTTACTGGCTTTCATAAACAAACTGAAGGTTAAATATAGTAACACTATAATTCAGTGTTTAAAAAGAATAGAAAGGGTTCCAATGTATGTGTTAATTTTTCTGGCTGAGATTTTAATTATTTATGTGTTGAATGGTATTAGTTTGGATATAAGTAGCTACTTATTAATGTAACCAGAATGTCACAAAATTAATATTATAGCATGCCTAGGCAATTTTGTCTGTGCTAATTTAAACTCCAATAATTCTAATTCTGATGGACTTCTGCCATCAGAATTATTCTTTATGTCAGAAAAATAATTCAGAAAAAGACAATTATTTAGTATGTCAAAACAAATGTACTGGAATTTAATAGAAATCTGTTAAACATTAAAATAATATGTTACAAAGGAAAGCATTCTGCATTAGAACTGTTGAATAGAGAAAGGTGTATGGCCATTATAACCAGGATTTTGGAGGTTGAAAAACTCAAATTCCCATGCTAATTTTGACACCAATTTGCCTTTCCTTTTCAGACTTTTTCTTTAAAATTGAAATAATGATACCTACCTTTTAGGGTTGTGGGATCATCAAGTGAGATAAATATTTAATAAATGATAATTAGACTGAGGATGTCACTTAGTGGTAGAATGCTTGTCTAGTGTGCGTGAGGCCCTAAATTCAGTTCTCAGCACTGGTATACATACATACTCACATACCTACATACATACATTCACACAATTAAGGAAAACAATACTGTTTTATCTAGAATTGAGAGCCCTATGTTTTATTATTTTCATCTCAAGTTCTGGCACATATTTTTAAGATAGATTTTTGGTATGTAGACACAATATTATATGTATTGTTTTAGAACCTGGACAGGGTAGTCAGATTACCTGAATTTAGATTCTGATTTTAGTATTTTCTAGCTATATGATCTCATCCAAGTTATTTAAAATTTTCATGACTTATTTAATCTGCAAAATGGATACAGTAATAATTCCTAACTCATAGGAATTGTTATGATATACACATGGGTATGAATCTGTCTTAGTATAGGTATAAAGTTCTTAGAACAGTGCCTGACACATAATATACTTACAGTTAGTTACTATATTTGTATTTGCTTTGTACAGTGGACCTAGAAAGATGCATAGCCAGGGTGGGAATCACTACCAGAGATTACTTCTAAATTTTCTCCAGCAGTCACTTTCTGTTACTTTCCTAATATTTATGCTCAGACATTTTTCCTTATGTCTTTTTTCCCTAATTTGTTGATTATCCAGTCCCTCTACACCTAACATAAGAATGAAATCTATGCATCTATGCATAGAATTGTAACCATAATCTGAAAATGATGTCCAGGAAAAGAGAAAGTTATCGCTGCTCTTTTTATTCCCTTCTGGAAGCAGTGCCATGGTAGGAAAAATAGGGAATGAAATTAATTAAAATCCTGAATGCTCAACCTAATTTCCTTCAGTCTGGAGATGGAACTGAATGAGTAATTAGTAGCTCAAGAAAAAGACCTGGAAAATCCCTTAAGAGATAAATTCTTGGTTGGGGACGTGTGTAAATTCTTCCCTGCCTCTATTCTCCTCCTCCTCACTCCTTCCTTCCTTTCCTCCCTCCTCCCTTCTTATTTCCTATTTCCTTTTTTTACCAGAAGGAATAAGAAGTCCTCCTCCTTTTCCTCTTCCTCTTCCTAATCCTCCTCTTTCTCTATTTCTTTTTTACAATAAGGAGTAAGAAGACTTATTTCTTGTCATTCTGGGTTTTCCTAGTTGAGAGGAAAGCTAAGTAAGAAAGACATTATAATAAAAATAACGTAGAGCATTATCTCCAGGCTACTGTTGTTTGGTAGAAGAAAATAGAAAGAATAAGATCATCTGAGGCAGTAAATACCTTTATGAAAGAGGCACTCAAAAGACTCAGAGGACATGACCTTTTCCATTGGTTTTTTTCATATTTACACTCTGTGACCTGGGGATAAAGTAGGAAAAGCTGCTGCAGAGAGGTGGGTAAGATCTGGGTTGAGTGGAGGGTGGCAGCTACAGCATAAGCAAAACTAATTAAAATTAGATATTCTATTAAAGTCATCATACTGTGATATATGCATACCCATATTTATAACAGCACAATTTACAATAATCAAACTATGGAACCAGACTAGGTGTCCATCAATAGATGGATGGATAAAGAAAATTTGGCACGTATATACATTGGAGTTGTATCCAGCCATAAAGAAAAATTAAATATTTCAATTGTAGGAAAATGTATGGAACTTGAAACCATTATATTAAGTGAAATAAGCTAAACTCAGAAGGTCAAGAGCTGTATGTTTTCTCTCATATTTGGAAGCTAGAGAGGAAAAAGGAAAAGAAATGTGGTAGTGGCGGAGGAGATCTCATGAAAATCGAAGGGAGAGTGCTGAGGATATAGCTCAGTGGTAGAGTGCTTGCCTAGCATGAGTGAAGCCCTGAGTTCTATCCCCAGTACCCAAACAAACAAACAAATAAGGTATCAGTACAAGAAAGGGACCGTGGGGTAGAAGAAGGGGAGCAGGTAACTTCTGGGGAGTGATATTGGCCAAATTATGTTGTTATATTGTGTACATGTACAAATATGTAACAACAAATCTCATCATTATGTACAACTATAATATACCAATAAAAAAGTGAAAAGAAGAAAAAATAGATATTTTAAGAATCTGTTAAAGCCCAAGTGAGGGGCGGCGAAGGAAAAATAACCCACCTGCATTGGAGCAATATAGGTGCTAAATAGGGCCGCCCACATCAAATATAAGTAATTTTGAAAGGAAATGGCAACCATGATAAAATATTAAATTAAAATAAGGAAAATATGTGCATAAATATTAGTTTAAATTTTAATAAAAGAGCCTAGTTTCCTTGCTTTTATTGTTGCCTTCCTCAAACTCCATATATTCTCCACAGAGTAGCCAGTGATTTTAAAAAAGGTTCTCTATCTAGATTCCTAATTATAATTGTATTAAAGTACCAACTCTTCACCATGGCATAGCAATGCAAATGCTCTGAACTCTGCCTGCTCTTTTATTTTACCTCTTTCAGTTTGCCCCTTATACTATATTCATAATTTTTGTCTTATTTTTATTCCAAACTAATGGTTTTTTACCCATGATTAAGACTGCTCACAACCCAATCATTTCTCCTCTGTCAATAATGGGCATATTTTGGCTTCGTGTTCTGCCACCTGTTACTACCTAATAGTAATCCCAGACTTGTAATTTTTTTCCTATTATTAATGAAAAGAACAAACTTTACTATCAACTGAAGATCTTAGGAAACTTAGGCAAGGACAGTTCAGAATTCTAAATGATTTATGTGTAACTGTTGATTCTAAAATTTTAAATTCCTTTAATTATTAGACTGTGAAGAAAGAAAAATAGACTAAACAAAAAAGGAAATGTTAGAGATACAATAAATGTACTAAAACAGTACTTACACTACCCCCATACTCCCTTCCCTCCCTTTACTTCCCTCTATTTTAAAATTCAAGTGCCTTTAAAAACAAATGTATGTTAACTTTTCAACAGAATGTAAATGTTATTTGATAAGGATTTTTGGAAAGCACTATTAATTTACGTTTATTAAAATCTATAATTATCTCACAAATGAAAAATTTTGATTTTGATTTAGGAGACAATGTATATAATATTAACTTCCCTAAAGATAGTTAATTTTAAGTAAGTACAGAATTTTTTTATGTAATACTTTGGTGGGTTTTAAGAAAATATGATAAGTCACAGAGTTTATTTTATTTTTTATTTGATCTAATTAATTATATATGACAGTAGACTATTTTGAAACATCATACATAAATGGAGTATAACTGCTCATTCTTCTAGTTGTAAATGATGTAGAATCATGTAATCATATATGCACATAGGGTAATAATGTCTGATTTATTTTATCCTTTCTACCCCCATACTCCCTCCCTCCCTGCTAATAGTGAATTAGCATCTGGACATCAGAAAAAACATTTTATTTTCTTTTTTTTTAATTATACCTAAATAAGAAGTACCTTTTGAGTTTCTTTAATCATAGGATTCATAATTTTTTCTTTTAAGATTAGTTTTCAGAGGGGAAGAAGAAATAAAACTGGGATGAAACATACTAATTTGTTATTATTTAGGATAAATCTAGAGTATACTCTTAAACTCTGTGTGTGTGTGTGTGTGTGTGTGTATGTGTGTATATCCACCTGGGGATTAAATCCAGGGGTAGTCTACCACTGAGCTACTTCCACAGCCCTTTTTATTTTTAATTTCTGAGACATGGTTTTGGGTGAAAATAATGAAAAGCAAAATAAGTCATTATTTCTATGTTGTCCAAATTTTATTCCTAAACTTCCCAAGAGAATTTTGTTCATGGAAATAATAACACTTTAATCACTTTAAAGTTTTAACTGGAGTTTTTTTCCAATCATTTATAATGGCTAAGATAAATTTTTGTGCATGATTTTCTTTTTAAGGAAAAAGAACGGTTGAAGCAAGAAAAACGTGATGAGAAAAGATTAAATAAAGAACGTAAACTAGAGCAACGAAGATTAGAATTAGAAATGGCCAAGGAACTAAAGAAGCCTAATGAAGATATGTGCTTAGCAGATCAAAAGGTAACAATTTCATTAATAATTTTAATCTTTCCAGTTTTCTCATCTGATTCCTTTGTCAGAGCTGCCATTATGAAAGCCTTTAGTTTTTATCTAGAGCAGTAGATTTCTAAGTGTAGTTCAATTTGCCTTTTCTGGATAGCTACCAGTAAACTTCTGGCATTTCTGTGCTGATAGTGACAGTTCTTAATATATATGTGGAGTGCTGCAAACTTTTTAAATTTAAGTAGAAACATTGCAAAAATCACCAAAAAAGAATCATAGAAGCAAATAGTATTTTCATGTTTCTGTTGGTCCTTTCCAGGTATTAAGGCATGGAAAGATCTGTCTTTTCCCTATGCCCCATAGACATTTAAGTAAATTAGGATTTATAATTTATAACCTCTGGTGGTGCTTTAGTGATGGTAGCTAAACTTTGTTGAGCTTGTTGACTATGTGCCAGTTACTACACTAACTGCTTATGTAAATTCTTTGAAGTCTATGGTTTCATCTAATCCTCAACACTGTCACATTGAGCTAATATTTATCTCTATTTACAGATGAGAAAACTGATACACAGAGAGGTTAAGGAACTTGCCAAATATAATACAGCTAATACATAGCAATTTGTATTCAAGCCATAGTTTATTAGAATCCATATTGTTTATCATCTTGAAAGCCAAGAAATAGTCCAACCGCAGTACCTCACGTGTTTTCTCTTATATATTGCTTAACAAACAAGTACTATTGCTATGACACATAAAAGCAGAAATTTAGAAAAAACAAAATACTTTTGGCTACCAACATGTGATATACTTTTGAGTAGAAATCAATTTTGTTTTGCATATAGTTAAGAAGATGGTACTTCTAGTAAATTACATCAGTAATTCATCTCAGCATGTAAGTTAATTGAAATTAATCTCTTTCTCAGAGATTTAAGTTCATATTGATGGTTACTTGTGTTTTACTGCTTAATACCATGAGGATTGCAGAAAAGCTCCCAGGAAATTTACCATCCAAAGGGAAAACTAGTACAGATTAAGAAAGATAACAACATATTTTACTTCAGAAGATAGAACATAACTTTTTAAGTTCAAGTTATTTTAAATTCTATTTATTTATTTATTTTATTTTCAGCCTTTGCCAGAGTTGCCTCGTATTCCAGGACTTGTTCTCTCTGGAAGTACATTTTCAGACTGTCTCATGGTGGTACAGTTCTTACGAAACTTTGGTAAAGTTTTGGGCTTTGATGTGAATATTGATGTTCCAAACCTGAGTGTTCTTCAAGAGGGATTACTAAATATAGGGGACAGCATGGGTGAAGTACAAGACTTGCTTGTGAGGCTCCTCTCAGCTGCTGTATGTGATCCAGGTCTAATTACAGGATACAAGGTAAAAAAAAAATGTGTGTGTGTATGCATGTATATATATATACATATATATTTATATTTACATAAATTTTTTTAAAAACAATTATAGTATTAGTACATTTGTAGCTAACGCTAACATATTAACAGAAGATTGCATAGACTGATCTAATTATTTTCACATAATGTCTCTCAAAGTTAAATGTAGGTTTGCATTAGTGTAAACCTGGTTATAAAGCTTAAGGTATGTAGCCCATTCTCAATTACTCTTTTTACCTCTACGTTTTAGGCAAAGACCAAGCTGATTTAAGGAAATACCCAAATGGTATTTGTCACAAACAGAATTCATAATTCACAAAGCAATTAGAACTCTTGTTTGCCTTCTGAAATTTTTCTTTATCTCACTCAATTACTATAACTGTCAGGCTTATCAGGGCACTTGAGACCAGCACATTAAGACTCTGTATTGCTTAGTGAATACTCAATAATTTCAAATTTATCTTAATCCTCATTAAGATATACATTCCCGGTTAGCTTTGCTTTAGATAATATTGTAAAGAGTGGAGCTTCCAGATGTACTTGTTTCAAACCTCTCTTTATTCAGTATACCAAGCAATAAATCCTATGACACTGTAAAGCTAGAAAACAATAATAATACTTTTGAACCTCCCCACCCTGCCATTACTGATAAAATGTCTAGGTAAAGCCTGAGAAAAGGTTCAGACAGTTAACTATAGTAAAAGAAACTTTGATAGATGTGTCTTAAAACTTCTGCTAACTTCTGCCCTAGTGTATTATTTGTCAGTAATATCTAGAACATATAAATCAGTATTTTTAATCATACTGTTTTTATGTTAGAAATTGTTATGATAAGTACTGATAAAAATGCCAAATTTTTATAGGCTAAAACAGCACTTGGAGAGCATTTGCTGAATGTTGGTGTGAATAGAGACAATGTGTCCGAGATTTTGCAGATTTTTATGGAAGCCCACTGTGGGCAAACTGAGCTCACTGAAAGTCTGAAGACCAAAGCTTTTCAGGCTCACACTCCAGCACAGAAAGCCTCAATCCTTGCTTTCCTGATCAATGAACTGGCATGCAGCAAGAGTGTAGTGAGGTAAGCATATGGCCAGGCTTCTCTGGTGATTTTTTTTTTTTCTGTTTGAATTTGTCTAATTACAACAGAGTGCAAATGCTTATAGAAAATTTAAGTTACCTACTAGCACCAAGAAAATTAAAATTACACAATCTCACCATTCAGAGATGACCACTAATAATGTTTTAGTATATTTCTTTGTAGTCTATTGGTAAAAAATTAGATCATTCTACACATATATATGTGTGTGTGTATATATATGTGTGAAACTCATTCTCTTTGTCACCTATTTTGCTTAATAATTTTGTTAATTATTTATATACTGTCAGTTTTTTATATTTTTTTCTGCTATAGTGCCAGTCTAGCACCCATGCAGGAATTCAGAATTTTTCTTTCCTTGACATCTTTGAGAACAGATGACTACCTGATTTTCTTTAGTACAAAATAGAATTATCTAGCCCCTTATTATTTGGTTGTATGCTAATAAGCCTTAGATTATTGTCACTATATTAATTTACACTTTTTTCAAAAGTACTTAATCTCATTTAAAAGTAAAAGCTGGGTACAGCAGTACTGCCTATAATCCAGCAATTCAGGAGTCTGAGGCAGGAGGATAACAGCCAGCCTCAGCAACTAAATGAGCCTGTTTTTTTCTCCTTTTTTTTATTTTATTTTTTTATTATTAGTTGTTCAAAACATTACAAAGCTCTTGACATATCATATTTCATACATTTGATTCAAACAGATTATGAACTCCCATTTTTACCCCGTATACATATTGCAGATTCACATCGGTTACACATCCACTTTTTTACATACTGCCATACTAGTGTCTGTTGTATTCTGCTGTCCTTCCTATCCTCTACTATCCCCCCTCCCCTCCCCTCCCATCTTCTCTTTCTACCCCATCTACTGTAATTCATTTCTCTCTCTTGTTTTTTTTCCCCCTTTCCCCTCACTTCCTCTTATATGTAATTTTGTATAACAGTGAGGGTCTCCTTCCTTTACCATGCAATTTCCCTTCTCTCTCTTTCCCTCCCCCCTCTCATCCCTGTTTAATGGTGATCTTCATTTCATGGTCTTCCTCCCTATTCTGTTCTTAGTTGTTCTCCTTATATCAAAGATGACATTTGGCATTTGTTTTTTAGGGATTGGCTAGCTTCACTTAGCATAATCTGCTCTAGTGCCATCCATTTCCCTGCAAATTCCATGATTTTGTCATTTTTTAGTGCAGAGTAATACTCCATTGTGTATAAATGCCACATGTTTTTTTATCCATTCATCTATGTTGGTTCCACAGTCTAGCTGTTGTGAATTGTGCTGCTATGAACATCGTTGTAGCAGTATCCCTATAGTACGCTCTTTTAAGGTCTTTAGGGAATAGTCCAAGAAGGGGAATAGCTGGGTCAAATGGTGATTCCATTCCCAGCTTTCCAAGGAATCTCCATAATGAGAACCTGTCTCAAAAAAATAAAATAAATAAAATAAAAATGGTTTGTGATATACTTCAGTGGTTAAGCTCCCTAAGTTGAATCCCCAGTATCCCCCCAAAAATGTCCAAGTCAGTCTTGCACTGTCATACTTCTTACTAATGAAATATTAATACTCTAGCATTTCAAGATTTGTGAATAAATCCATGTTCATCTTGTTCTTAGTGTTAACCACTTTACAGACTTCAATAATTTTACTCTTTTACCTGTTTAGAGAAAAGGTTCAATCGGAATATTCAGAGCCATGCATTTCTACCTTTGCTGGACATTTTAAGTTCTTTGTACATATTTTAGTAGTAATGCTATATTAATATTTCCTTTACTTTTGCTACTTTTTGTCACTATTTAAAAGAGTGTGACAATAAGTTTTACAATATGATGAAAGAGTAATTTCACTAAGCATGGACATGATAACAAATTATAATACTGAGTTTCACTTTGTAAAACACTTACATACACACACAATTTCAATATAAACTTTGTACTGATGGTTTCTACCTTAAAAGAGGAAAAGCACCATTTTTCACTTATCACCAGCTATCATAATATTCTTAGTTTCCATTTGAATATTTCCATACATACATTCAGATATTATCTGTACATAGGTACATATGTGCCTTATCCATATGTGTTCTGGTGGTTTTTATTTTGTTTTTGTGGTGCTAGGGATTTAACCCAGGGCCTCACACATCCTAGGAAATTGCTCTACCACTGAACCACACTCCAAGCCCTCCATGTGTGTTGATTTCCTGCTTTGATTTTGGAAATGATCACATATTAATTATTTGGAAAACCAAATGTCTTTATAAGGAAACTGGTAGATAATTCCTTTCTTGGCTTAAAGTAGAAACCATACTGAATTTTCTAATACTAACGTCAGATCCACTACTGAAGAAATTCTCTTTTCTCAACATAAATGTACATACATTTATAAATGCATACATATACATACATGTATACACACAAAATCAATTGTATCATTTTTCCTCATCAAAATATATTAATTTGCATAGTAAATTAATATATTGCATAAATGGATTAATTTATATCTTTTAACTTTTGTATTGGCAGTGAAATTGACAAGAACATTGACTATATGTCAAACTTAAGGAGAGATAAGTGGGTAGTAGAAGGTAAACTCCGCAAGTAAGTCCGTTTTATTAATCTACTTGCTTTACTTTTTCTAAAGGAAATACAATGATTAATGTAGAAGGCATGTGGGCAGAATTTACAATGGACTAGAGATTCATTGAGTTTATGTAAATAAGTCAGTTTCTCTTTTACTTTCAGAGAAGTCATGTAATCATGCTTTCTAAGATGGTTGTTGCTGTCAGGTTGTTCTTATTAGAACCTATTTGAAATGGCCCCCTTTTTTCTAACTAAACTTTGCTTTTTTAGTGTGTAACCAAACTTATTCAACATTGAAACTTTGTTATCTTCTTGTCAGGAAATATCATGATAAAAGTAGTCAACTTCATTGTTAAGGGGTAGTTTCTTTGTAGTAATTTGAATTGAAATTTTTTCAGTCACATGGTATAGGGATCAGAATTATCACTTAGTCATTGTTTGAATTACTCTTTTCAGCTTTCATACTTGTTATAAATGTGTTCTCATTGCCAAAATATGAAAACAACTCTTGAAAATTAATATAGACTGTACTTTAGGAAACATATTTCTTAAATTTCCTAATTCTAATTTATTTTGCTAGTAGTATATTGCTTTAGAGAAGTGCCATAAGGTATTTTTGCTTAAAACTCATATTACACTCTTTAAAAGGTATAGAAAGTAGCTTTTTATGCGATATGATTTTCTGATAAATTTAAAGGCTCAGAATAATTCATGCTAAGAAAACAGGCAAAAGAGACACTTCAGGTGGCATTGATCTTGGAGAAGAGCAACATCCTTTGGGTACACCTACTCCAGGACGCAAGCGAAGAAGGAAGGGAGGAGACAGTGATTTTGATGATGATGATGATGATGATAGTGATGACCAAGCTGATGAGGATGATGAGGATGAAGAAGATAAAGATGATAAAAAAGGAAAGAAGACTGATACCTGTGAAGATGAGGTAATCAAGTTTAGGTTAATTTTTAAGATTTATGAACTACATAGTATATTGAAAATAATAGAATTTGGAGTCAAATGGATTTTGATTTGAGTATAGTTTTCACTTTTATTTGCCTCAGTTTTCTCATCTGAAAATGAATATTATGATGTTTATCTCATAAGTTTTTTTGTGACAGGTAAGTATATGGTATATAGCATGCGTATATATAGAAAGCAACTTAGACTGAATGAATGAAATAGTTTTTCTTTGTATATACAGTCATGTGCTGCATAATTACATTTCCATCAATGGCTGACTGTATATAACATATATAAAACAGCCATCATAGTCATTTTACGCGAGCATATTTCGTGATGTTCACACAACAAAGACACCTAATGATGCATTTCTCAGAATGTATTCTCATTGTTAAGTAGATCCTAAATGTAGTTACTTGAGGAATCTACAAAGAGCTATGTGGATTCTTAATTTTACATATGCTCTTTAATTCTTTTTTAATAAATTTTTTCCCTAAAACAATTTTTTATTTTTTATTTTGCTCTTTAATTCTGTCAACGTACTATGTTACATTTGTAATGCACAGACATCATGCCTTTGAAAATATTGTCAGGCTATACATGGTACACACCTGTGATCCCAGAGAATAAGGAGGATGAGGCAGGAGAATCATAAGTTTGAGGCCAGCCTGATCAACTTAGTGAGACCCTGTCTCAAATATTTAAAAAAATTAAGCCTGGTGTGGTGGCACACACCTAAAATCCTAGCAACTCAGAAAGCTGAAGGATCACAGAAGGATCTTAGCAAGGATCAGTATCTTAGCAAGACCCTCAGAAACTTAACTGTCTAAAAAAATAAAGAAAGAAGAATGAGGATGTGGCTCAGTAGTAAAGCATCCTGGGTTCGATCCCTAGCACCAAAATACATAAATAAAAGTATTATCAGGTTTAGTGAAGATGATGTAATTTTTCAAACACCAATTATTATTTTTGTAGTTCCAGGTAATTTTTATCAAAATGAATAAAGCACTGAAAATTCATTCAGAGAAGTCATGTAATCATGTTTTCTATCAGTTTGTTCTTGTTATAAATAGAACCTATTTTGAAACTACCTCCCAAATTCCAAATTCTTCATTCAGTCTTACTGAGGAAGATTTTCAAAAAGAAAGTGTAGTGTGTGAATTGACTTAATAGAAAGGGTATTTACAATGTGCTAGGCAGGTATACAGGAAGGGCATTTAGACTTTCTGAGAAATAAACTCCTACAAAGGGTTTCTGGACCCATTAGGTGAGGCTCACAAACTAGGATGGATATTAACCTGCAGGGAAATCTAGAGAATATCCTTGGCCCAGGGGAATAGCATGAGTACAGAAGCAGGAAACCACTTGCGTAAGGGGAATTCCAAGTGCTTCAGTTTCTGGACAGTCTCACACCAAGAACAAAGAACTAGGATTTTATGCTTTTAAAGTGATTGGAGCCCAGGAAAGCTGTATAAATAAACAGGAAATGACAGAATGGTCAGATTTGATTTTTAAATGGCTCACTCTGGCAGCTTTGTAGGAGTTAAAAATAAGCAAGAGCAATGTCAGAGAAGCAAAAATCAGTCATGAGATATTGTAATAGGTGAGTTGCAAAGGGTCTGAAACTAGAGTAGTGATAGTTGGCATGAGGATTCAGTAAACATTTAGGAAGAAGGATGAGAATATGAAGATGGCCTATGTAGGTTGACAGAGGAGTAAAATTTATTTGCAACTATCTTGCTTGGGAGAGTAGAGACTAAATAGATAATTGGAGGTAGGCATCTTAAGGGAACAGATAACTGAAGAGAGGAAATGATAATAGGTTTATTTTGGACATGGGGAGATTAAAAAACCTGTATAGAATTCAACAGTCAATTGCCTTTAGAAACCTGAAGCCTGAAGAGAAGTTCAGCCTTGGAATATGGACTGGGATGTTATTAGCACATGAGCAATAGTTTAAAACCAGAAGGTAAAAGAGTTTGCATAGTCGGATAAGTTTAGTGAATAGAATAGTGGGCTGAGGTTGGAACCATAGGGTATGTATGTCAGTATTTAACAGCAGCCCACAGGGCTTCTTGTTCCAAAAAGGAATAGTCAGAAAGGTTGGAAATTTCTGTAAGAGATTCAAGGTCCCAAGAGCACCTCCAGGTTCAATAATTCACTAGGATAATTCACAGAATTAGCATATACTTGAACTTAGGGCTATGAATTATCGCAGCAAAAGGAAATAAAGCAAGATCAACAAAGAACATATGGGGTGAAGTCCAGAGGAAACCAGTGCAAGCTTCCAAGAATTTCCTCTCATTGAAGTCACACAGGATGGGCTTCCTTCCCCCAGCAACAACAATGTATATAGACTATTATTCACAAAAGAAACTTATTAGAGACTCAGTGCCTGGGTTTTTTGATTGGGGGCCAGTCATGTACATATCCTTTAAACAGCATGTGCTCAAATTCTCAACTCAAAGAAATGCAGGTTCAGTATAAACCATATTGTTAGCACAAATAGTTTAGGTACAGTAAGTCTATCTTATCTGTTGGAGTGGGGGAAGCCTCCCAAATTCTAAGCTCTTATTTGCCATCCAAAGGACCAATTTTCTAAACAGGCCCTTCAAAGGATAGCAATCAGGCCTACTATGTTAGTCTTTTCTATACATGTAATAATAATAGAAATCAAGAAAATTAAGCATTTGAGAAAGAAGAGAGTGATAAATCATATTAAGACAACAGGAATCTAGTGTGAGGACTATTTCATTGGATTTAGCAACACAGAGGTCATTAGTAACAAATGCCAGCACAATTTCATGAAAACAGCAAGAACTGACAACAGGCTAATAATTGGTTAATAACATTAGAAAGTGAAGATGACTGTCTCAAGAAGTATGCCTCAGAAATTAAAAAAAAAAAAAAAAAAAGGTAGTTCCTTGAGGATGACATAAAGCCAAGGAATTTTCAGGAGTGAAACACCTTGAGATGACTTTTTTGGTTGAAGGGAAAGAATCAGTAAAATGAGGAGAGGGAAATGAAGATTTAAGAGAAGAATTAATAGTATAGGGTTCTAAAGATACTGGAGAAGTTTTAGTCATAGTGAAGAAGCTACCTTTGAAGGGTGGGCCAAAGAGGAAAAGGCAATGTCATAAAGATATATGTATACTGTGTGTATTTAGGGAAAGCTACCATAAGCCAGGAAAACATATATGCATAAAAAATTGAAGTTCACCTTTTACCAGAAAGAAATGCTAGGAATAATGAAAAGGCTGCAGAATGACACTCAGAAATCAATGTTCAGCAAATCATGCTCTCATTCCTCAATGCCAGAGTATTTAGCTAAGTGAATCTAGAAAGAACTCTTTGCCTTTCTTGCTTCAACTCAGTCCTGCTAGAGAATAAAGGAAGAAGGTTTAGAGGGATGAATTTATTGATGGAATATGTGAAAATAATATCTAGTTGAGACCAATGATAAGTTACGAAATCAATTTATGACTAAATATGGATAATGTAGAAGAAGTTACAAGATTGTGTTGTGCAATTCTTTCTTCAGTAAAAATAGCATAAATGCAAAATGTTTTCATATATTCTTCCTCCCCAATATAGTATCTTAAATCAGAATGATAAAAATCCCTAGAGTGAATTTTACTTTTCTCCTTTTTTAAATTTTGAGAACTACCCTCTTAATAAAAATTTTAGTGTACAATACAGTATTGTTGACCATAGGTATGTTTTACAGCATCTCTCTAGAACTTGTTTATATTGAATAACTGAAACTTTATACCAGTTGAATAGTAACATCCTCTGTTTTTCCATCCCAACCATCCTCTGACAGTCACCATTCTATTATCTGTTTCTGTGAGTTTGAATATTTTAGATACCTCATATGATTGGAATCATCTAGAATTTAACTTTCTGTGACTGCTTAATTCAGTTAGTATATCTTCAGTATCCATTCATGTTATGTGTCATATGGCAGGATTAATTTTGTAAGTCAGGATAATATTTCATTGTATGTATATACCATATTTTGATTATCCATTCATTTGTCAGTAGACACTTGGGTTGCTTCCACCTTTTACCTATTAAGAATAAGGCTGCAATATGTGAGAGTACAAATATCTCTTGGAGATCCTGATTTCAGTTCTTATGGATAAATATTCACAAGTGGGATTATGCAATCATATTGCAAATAGTTCTACTTCTTAATTTTTTGAGGAACCTCCATATTGTTTTCCATAGTGGTTATACCATTTTACATTCTCTCCAATAGTGCAGAAGTGTTCCAATTTCTCCATAATGCTACCAATACTTCTTTTTTAATAATAGACATTCTAACACATATGTGATGATATCTCATTGTGATTTTGATATACATTTCTCTGATGATAAGTAATGTTGAACATCTTTTCATATACCTGTTTATTATTTATTTGTATATATTTGAGAAATGTCTGTTCAGATCCTTTGCTCATTTTTTTCATCAGGTTGTCTGTTTTGTTTGTTTGTTTTACTATTGAATTATTAGGAGTTCCTTGTATTTTTTGGATATTAACTACTTATTAGATACATGGTTTGCATATATTTTCTTTCACTCTGTTAGTTGCTTTTTTAGCTTTGTTTTTTAGTTGTTTCTTTTACAATCCAGAGCTTTTAAATTATGTGATCCTACTTATTTATTTTTGCTTTTATTATTCTTTTGGTGTCATATCCAAGAATTCATTGCAATGAATTTTACTTTACAATAAAGAGTACCAATCTAAAAAAGGAGACTACATGGAGATTCATTACTAAAATCAATTATTTCATAATGTTGTCTCCTTGCTTCCTTCCTTCCTAAACAAATTTGCTGCGTTGCTTAGTCCTTATACTCCTGGGCTCGAGCAATCCTTCTATCTCCCGCCTCCAGGCAGCTGGGACTACAGGCATGCCACTGCACCCAGCCATATGTTGTACTTTTTAAATCATTGGATCATATACATTCATGCTATGACTAATAATGCGAGAGGTGTGTAATTGGTTATCTGAAATGTAATTATCCAAACAAAAGATACCATTTATAAGTAATCTGCTTCATTTAGCAAGTGGAGCTGTTTCCATAGCAAGAATTAAAACATTTCTAACTAAAATGTATCATCTTTTCACAGAATTAGTATCCCTTTCAGCATATAATATTATTTTTGTGTCAACACTCATGAATTTGGCAATCCAGTATTAGGATTTCAGAGGGTTCTACTGGGTAGTTTTCCCACTAAAATTGTTTGTTTCACCTGGCTTCTACTTATATGCAGAGAATTTATAAGCCATATATTCTTTATACATAGACTATTTCAAAAATCATTATTTGTTCTCAGAGAAGATATGTCTTTGAAGGTAGTATTTTATTTTTTTAATGAGTGTTTAATTAGAATGCTAAATATATTATAGAATTTTAATTGCAAGTATATATCTTGTTATTAATGTGGAAAAACAATTCAAGACTTTTAAAAGTAATAAATATTTTGGGATCTAAGAAGTCAAATTAACATTTCCTTAAATGATTTAAGCTATACTTGATAATAAGGAACTGGCAGAAGCTTATCAAATTTCAGTAAATAAAATTTTGACCACTTAATGAACCTGATTGATAAAATGAGCATATTAGTTCTATAAAAATAGTTTGGGCCTCTAGATTAAGTTATAGGTAGAGTGTCAGTACAGTAGTTATATTCCTTAAAGGATTAATTCCAGGGAGGTTTTCCACTGACATCCTATGATCCCTTTCAATTAATATATATTGCCCTTACATAAATCATAGCACTTTGTCTTGAAGATGATTCCCTTTTTTTCTCACTCTTTTTTAAAAATTTTTAAAAATTTATTCTAATTTGTTATATATGACAGCAGAATGCATTTCAATTCATTTACAGCACAATTTTCATATCTCTGGTTGTAAACAACTTGGAGTCACACCATTCTTGTCTTCATACATGTACTTAATTTCTTCCAACATGGACTTTTTCCCTGTTAGATTTGTGTTGAGACCTATATGAAATCTAACCTTAGAAGCTGGCATGTAAGAGATGATGTATACAATTTAATTATGGCCTTTTTTGCTTGAGAAACCAGAACAGGGATAGATCTTGAGTTCTTAGTTTTGATGTTGTTCCCACTTTTCTCTCTACTCTTTCAAGTTCTTTTATGTCTCTTAAATAAGGATTATTAGCCAAAAATCTTTAAATAAAACGTCTGTAGATGTATTCTTTCTTTTTCATCATGAGAAAAATCTTTAAAAATTACATTTGTGGACTGGGATATATGTCAGTGGTAAAGCACTTGCCTAGCATGTACCAGACCCTGAGTTTTATCACCAGCACTGGAAAAAAACAATTACATTTAGTTAATTTGACCAATACATGACTACTTTGATATCTTAGTCCAAATATTTATCAGAAGGTCACTTTAGAATCAGTATTTAAATATCTATTTGAGAGTCAAAATTTAACAGTCATTGAGCCTGTTGTCAGTGTTTTAAGATTTCTTTTAATCCCAATTAGATTTTATGTTACTGTTAGCATAAATAATATGCCTAAATGCCTTCATAACTTGGTCCCCTAAATTTGGATAAGGAATACATAATGAGAACTTTTTTTAAATTTTCTTTTATTAAGCAGGTAGCCACACTTATCTAGAAATATATATTCATGAATATTATATTCATGAATGGTTGGTGGGCACTATGACTTTGTAAAAATGCTTATGAACATTAGAATCTGGGCACAGTAGCAAATGCCTGTAATCCCAGCAACTCAGGAAGATGAGGCAGGGGAATTGTAAGTTTGAGGCCAGCCTTGGCAACTTAGTGAAACCCTTTCTCAAAATTTAAAAAACGAGCTGGGGATGGTAGAGTGCCCTTGGGTTCAATCCTCAGTACCACAGAAGAAAAGGAAAAAAGAAAAAGAAAAAGAAAGAAAATGAACATCAGGGAAAAAATGAACATCAAAAACTAATTTGGGGGCTGGGTTTGTGGCTCAATGGTAAAGCACTCACCTAGCATGTGTGAGGCCCTGGGTTCAATTCTCAGCACCACATGAAAATAAATAAATAAAGGTATTGTGTCCAGGTATAACTAAAAAAAAAAAATAATATTAAAAAAACTAATTTGGGGGCAGTGCAGGGGTTGCAGCTTAGTGGTAGAGTACTTGCCTCGCATATATGAGGCACTGGGTTTGATCCTCACCACCACATAAAAATAAATAAATAAGCAAAATAAAGGTATTGTATCCATCTACAACTAAAAATATATATATTTAAAAACAACTAATTTGGGGGTTGGGGGCATAGCTCAGTGGTAGCATGCATAAAGCCCTGAGTTCAATTCCCAGCACCACAAAAGAAAAGAGAGAGAGAGGTTTTTTTTAAGTATTTTTTTTAATTGTCAATCAATCTTTATTTATATGTGGTGCTGAGAATCAAACCCTGGGCCTCACATATGCCAGGCAAGTGCTCTACCAGTGAGCCACAACTTCAGCCCTGAGAAAGAGAGATTTTAAACTAAGATGTGCACTTCTTGTTAAATAACCCTGTTAATTACTTACATCTTTTCTTAATTTGCCCTCACAAAAATCTTATTTCTGTTAGTTGCTTTCAGATCTGTTTTTAGTTAGTCCTCACAAAAATTTTATGTTACAGATAATGTTATCACCAATTTACAGTTCAGGTAATAGTCTTAGAAAAATTCAATAATTTATCTATAACAAATAGTACCACTAACATACAAAAAAGCCCGTGTAGTCTCTTTGCTTCCCTCTAAAACATAATTTGGAGGTAGTTGTTTTATTTCCCCTTTCTAGAATGAAAAATTTCATATATAAAGAAATTTTCTATTTATGTACAAAGTTTGGGGTACTATTTTTACTCTAAAGGCTTAATAAGTTCAAAACAATTTATCTTCACTCTAAAGATGATTTATTTGGCTAATATAGTACCCTTATTTTTCTGATCTCCTAGGTAACACCTTAATATCATAATATATTCTTTCCTTCATTTCTCTTACCCTACACCCTTGAAAGGCCTATATCCCCTCTCTTCCTTGAGTCATTATGATAGTTAACTAGCTAGTTTTGCCCATTTTAGTCCTTCTCTGCTCCAGGACACTTTATATCTCAATTAATCTTTGTAAAGCACAGTTCTGATGTTTAACTTCCCTCAAAGGATTATATTGTTGTCCACTGCCAGGCATTTACAATGCTGCACAATATGACCCTAAACCCATCTTGCCCCTTCTCCATCTTATGTTTTCATGTGATAGTATGTCAAACTCTTTCTGGAATGTTTTCTTTTTTTCTCTGATTCATAAGTTCTTAACCATGCTTTAGTCACTATTTAAAACATGACTTTTTCGATATAGCCTCTATTTGTGTAGATTTCCACTAGACTCCCATGACTCCTGATAACTTAAGGTCCCTACTATTTGATGTTTTGCTTTGTTTAATGTTTTATGTCTCTTAGACAACAAGAACTGAGTCTTAATCCTTTCCTCAGGGCTTCTGCTAGTACTTTTCATATAGAAGGCATTCATTGGGGGGAGTCCAATTTAATACATATATCTTAAAAGCAGATGAATGATATATTGTATTTTATTATGTATAGGATGAAGGTGACCAAGCAGCAAGTGTTGAAGAGCTAGAAAAACAGATTGAAAAACTGAGTAAAGTAAGCACTTTGCAGATTAATGTTTCCATTTTTTTGTAGTGTTTTAAAAATATATATTGAATGGGATTAGCTTTTCTTACTACCAAGTCAAAAGAAGTTTTTTGTAATTAAAATGAAGAACTCTTGAAAAATTCTCATAATTAAACCTTAAAATATTAATGTAAAAAAATATTAATGCCAAAGTTAAAAGCCTGTTATTGAGCCTAATCAGAATCTGTGAAGAAAAGGTTCTATATTCTTCAGTTCTTCATATAAGTACAAAGTATCAATAAAGGCATGGCTTTATTTCTTGAAATTAATTACTCAAAAAATGTAGTTGAGGGGCTGGGCAGTAGAGCGCTCACCTAGCACATGTGAGGCACTGGGTTCAATCCTCAGCACCACATAAAAATAAATAAATAAAATAAAAGTATTGTGTCTAACTACAATTAAAAAATAAATATTTAAAAAATGTAGTTGAGTTTCATAGTAATTATTCCGGCATCATAGGTTTTATTTTAAATTATTACATTTGTAATAATTTAAAATAATTTTTAAATTATTACAATTTAAAAATTTGGATTTTATTTGCATTGGATTTCTAAATAGTACATATTTATATAATTGCCATTAAAAACCAAATTTCAATAGCATTAGTGAAATTTCCAATGAACTTTTTATAAGAAAAAATGAATTTTTATGAGTATTGAGATGCCTGTATATTTTAATGACAATTCACAGATCTATCTCAAAATTTAGTCAAATGTCACCTAGATTTGTAGCATGAATACAAAAATAAGCAAATATAGCCTTGGTCAATTACATATATAAGTATTGTTGGTCTTACCCTCTCTCTAATGATCTATAGAATTGAGCCATTTTGCTTTGGCTCAAAAAAATGATCACATATAAGATCATGTTTTACATGTTAAGGCATGATCTACTATAAGATACCTGAGAAAATGAAACTTATCCTTTTAATCTAGGGGAATAAAATATTCCATTTTTCCTGAAAATAATTTGTCTTTATAAATGTTACTAAAATTGAAGTCAACCATGTCATATTTAACCTTTTGCTATCTTTTCCCAGTAGTGAAATTTATCCACTTTAAAATCATAATAGGTTTAAAGTCGCCCATCTGTTAATTTTTAAAGCCTTTAGCATCCATAATGTAATTATACATACTGTTTTTTAACAGCAACAAAGTCAGTACAGAAGGAAGCTCTTCGATGCTTCTCATTCATTACGTTCGATGATGTTCGGCCAGGATCGTTACAGACGCAGATACTGGATTCTTCCCCAGTGTGGGGGGATTTTTGTAGAAGGCATGGAAAGTGGTGAAGGTAGGAACTATTAATCTGTTACAAAGTACAATCTCAAATAAGAAACCGTATTTTTTCAAACCCTGTTACTTTTTCAGTGTATTTTGTCCGTTCATAATCAAGCGTGCTTTATTAATAAACATTGTAAAATCTTGATTTCTATTCCTTTTGAACACATAATGCTCCTTTCACTGATAGATATTTCCTTCTTGCCCCTGATTTTTCTTCTGTCAGTCTTTCTGACACTAAACATAAGGTATTCTGTTTCTTGTTTAGTGGACACAGATCTTGCCTAACCTTTATTTTTATTTTTTTAGGATTTTATTTTATTTATTTTTTTTTTTTAATTTTTTATTGTTGGCTGTTCAAAACATTACATAGTTCTTGATATATCATATTTCACACTTTGATTCAAGTGGGTTATGAGCTCCCATTTTTACCCCATATACAGATTGCAGAATCACATCAGTTACACATCCATTGATTTACATATTGCCATACTAGTGTCTGTTGTGTTCTGCTGCCTTTCCTATCCTCTACTATCCCCCCTCCCCTCCCCTCCCCTCCCCTCTTCTCTCTCTGCCCCCTCTACTGACATTCATTTGTCCCCCTTGTATTATTTTTCCCTTTCCCCTCACTTCCTCTTGTATGTACTTTTGTATAACTCTGAGGGTCTCCTTCCATTTCCATGCAATTTCCCTTCTCTCTCCCTTTCCCTCCCACCTCTCATCCCTGTTTAATGTTAATCTTCTTCTCACGCTCTTCGACCCTACTCTGTTCTTAGTTACTCTCCTTATATCAAAGAAGACATTTGGCATTTGTTTTTTAGGGATTGGCTAGCTTCACTTAGCATAATCTGCTCTAATGCCATCCATTTCCCTGTAAATTCTATGATTTTGTCATTTTTTAATGCAGAGTAATACTCCATTGTGTATAAATGCCACATTTTTTTTATCCATTCATCTATTGAAGGGCATCTAGGTTGGTTCCACAGTCTTGCTATTGTGAATTGTGCTGCTATGAACATCGATGTAGCAGTGTCCCTGTAGCATGCTCTTTTTAGGTCTTTAGGGAATAGACCGAGAAGGGGAATAGCTGGGTCAAATGGTCTTGCCTAACCTTTAGATGCTGCACTAGGATTTCTTTTTTTCCAATTTCAAACTTTCAATTATGAGGCTTATTCTTTAATTTTCTCAAAAAGCATTCATCCCGACAGTACCCCTGCAGATAACTTTCTATTAAGGTCCTTATTATAATCCTCATTCATTTCAAAATCTTGTTCATATTTGAAATTTGTGATCACATCTTCCTTTCTTGATTTTTGTGTTACCACTAATCTTTCCTAATACACCTTTAGACTATTTTGCTGGCTTCATTTCTGCTACATTAACTGGCACAGTATGCTGTATATTTATGCTCAGTGAACTTTCTCATATTGAACTTTTCAGAACTCTATGTCTGGGCATTTTCAAATGTCTGAATTCTGATGGGGCCAAAAGTGTTATGCCAATGCTTATAAATTTTGTCATGTGGCAATTGACCCATGGTGGTATGTGGAGGCATAAACTTCTTTCAACATATTTTTCAAGTACCCACTGTGAGCTAGGTAGGCACAGCAGGAAGCACAAAGTTATATGAAACATAATCCATGCCATGTAGCATTTATAGTCCAATGTGAGAAAAGATTAGGTAATCACATAGATGATTATAGTAGAAATAATAAACAAGGCGGTTGTTTAAGCTTTTTCTTTTAGTAGTAGAATCAACCTTTTAATGAAAATTTTGTGTAAAACCCAATATCTAACAAAAACTGATTTGTTCTGATCAATAAATTTGGGGAAACCTTAGTCTTTCTAATTAGGTCTTTGTCCTGTACATTCGCTTTCCAATACAGAACCAGCAACTTTGGTGAATACTGGGGCATTCTGTAAATTAAAGAATAAAAGCTCAGAGCCATCAACGATAAAAGCAAGGGCTTAAAAATCTCAAGGAAGGGAAAGGTTTTCTAGCCTACTTAATTCAACAAGCAACAAGACCATTATTATTTCATTGTAGTTTCTGGCACACATGGGCATCTCTGCCTCTAGATGTGACCTCTTTGAGGACTAATTTAGGCAGGGTAACTACACAAAAATAAATACCCTGGCAGCAAACCTACACATTAGATTGGAATAAGAAAGGATAGAGAAGCTAGTGATGAGATCATTCCAGAAGCTTGGCTGAAAAGTATAAACAGAGGTAACAGGAACAAAGAAAGAGATCTTGAAGATTGCTCTAAGAAATTATTGAGGGTGATGTAGGAAAAGTGGAATCAGAGATAAATTTGATGACTTGATCCTCAGTATAAAAAATTGTGATGCCTTAAACAAAATCAGAGTCAAGAAGAAGGGTTGTTTGTAATGAAACTTAATAAAAGTTTTAGTATAGAAATCTAAATAAAAATGAAAATATTGTGAGTCATTTGGAGTGCAGAGCCTGCTAAAGCTTAAGAACAGATAAAGAAATGCCCAAGTGAGTAGCTGTTTACATTGGTTTGATTAGAATCACCTGAGATTCTTAAACAAGACCAATCTGAGCCCTGTCCCATACCATTAAATATTCTTCAGTTTGATTAAGAGCCACATCACTCTCTGGGCATGTGAACCTGAAGTTATCTAGGACATCAACTTTTCTTTCAAAATACTGAAATTATCAGTCCCAACATACTGATATTAGTCCTTTATCAATACATAACTCAGTTATTACAATCCTCCTCAATTTCTCTATGTACAATTCCCTCATTCTGTTATGTTCTTTCACCACCTACTCCAAAATCTTGAATGACACCCTATTGCCTATAGGATGATGTAATAAATCTGTACTTAGCATCCAAGTCTGTGTACCAATCTGACTTCAAACTATCTTTGCACTGTTCTCTAATAAAAATTCACCTAAGCCAAGCCAGGAGTGGTAGCACAAGCATTTAATCCAAGCTATTCAGGAGGCCAAGGCAGAAGGATCACAAGTTCAGGGCCAGCCTATGAAATTTTACAAGACTCTATCTCAAAAATAAAAAGGACTGGGTATAGCTCAGTGGTAAAATGTTTGCCTGGTTTGATTCCCCAGTACAATAATAATAATAATAATAACAACAACAATAATGAAAAATAATTCAGCTTGGTCAATCTACCTACTTACTATTGCTCAACACGTGTATTCCTCCTCCTATGTCTCTGTGTTACTGTGCTTGGCCAATCCTGGTCATTATAACAATAATCTGCCTTTTCTTCAACCATCTAAATTTTATTTATCTTTTTTGATATAGCTGAAACCCTAACCCTTCCATGAACTTTCCAGCTTATTTAAGTGGAACTAATTTTTACTATGTGTATACTCCTAGAAAACCAAATAATTAATAATGACATTATTTTGGCACATTGCTCTACTTATTATTACTATTTACTTATATTATTTAAATCTTATAATCTAATTTGTATTACTTTTTATTCTATATGGTACTTTATACCATGTATAACAACAAAGTTTATTAACAGAGCACACAGAATCTCCTGAGCCTTGATAGTGGTTCCACGGGGGATGTGCCCTCTCCAGTAACAAATTCAACAAGCAAGAAGACCATTCTGAGAGAGAACCCCTGCCTTTCATAGCATTGTACATTTTATATCAGTCTAAGAAAGATACAAAATCCTTTATTTTTCTGAGAAATAATAGAGGACCCCTGAGCTAGGGGTATGAATACCAGGGCCAGTGTCTGTATACCAAGGGCCCAGGAACAGTGCTAACATCGGCTAAGGATTCTGTTGTTCCTCTTTCAACTACATCAGTGGCTAAGCTAGCTTGCTGGTCTTGGGGGAAAGGAAGGATCATGACCTTTAGCTAAAAACTAATGGCTTATTCCCTTTCAGTCCACCCCCTGACCCTTGGGGTAGCTCATTTGGAACAGGAACCAGCTGGGTGTCCCCACCCCCCAGTACTAAGGATTGAACCCAGAATATGCTAGGCAAACACTCTTCCACTGGGTATATCCCATCTCTTTTTATTTTTTGAGACAGTATTGCTAAGTTGCCGAGGCTCACCTCAAACTTGCAATCCTCCTGCGTCAGCCTCTTAAATAGCTGGAACTGTAGGCATACACCACCATACCAGCTCAATTGTATGTTTAAATAATGCTTTCAGTATTCATTGACAGTGCTAAAAGAGACATAACCAGACAAATTCCAAAGCAAACAACATGTTGCCACATTAGGAAGTGTAGAGCTTGCCTGAGTCATTTGGCCTTATATCCAACAAATGGTCCAGAGCTACACAATTATATAATACTATTTGGGCCAAAAATTTGATGCTGATTTGTTAAGAGATAAGAGCCATGGCTTCTCAATTGTTCCCCCCAGGATAGCTGGTTATGGTCAGACCTCTGCTTCAGAGGAGCATATTCAAGAAAAAAGTCCTTGTGCAAAGTAATAAAAGCCTGTATCCCTTACACCTGCAGGGAAGCTCTGATGCTGGTACTAAAGACCACAGCTGAAAAGTTCAACAGTGCCCTTTGGGTTTTGAGTCACTACAAAATGTCTCCTAGTTACTTCTAAAGTGTGTAGTATTATATATCCAGGTGGGAAGCAAGAAGAGCCTACCTTTCACATAGGAAGCACCTAGAGTTCTAGCCTGTGATCACTGACCTTGTCAATGCTACATGTTCTATCCACTTCTCATTTATTTTTCCCTGGAGTTAGCATACTGCCAGTATGCTATTAGTTGGACTCAACTGGAGGTCTGAAGTAGAAGTATTTGGTTGAGAGTTTTGTGCCACTTTTCAGTAACCCTGATGTTGGGTACACTGGAAGTCTAGATAAGAGTGTTTCTTTTCACTTGAGAAGGTAAAGAGAGTTTTATATAATGTAATTAATAAGAACAGAATTATAGAAGGCCAGGCAAATGAGGACCAGATAACAGTAATTTCTGTGGTGTACCTTGGAGTAGACATCTGGAAGGTACTCTGCAGGCAAATAGGTTGAGGATGACAA